GCTCTTCCCGCCGTAAGCTATAATGCCTTCACCAGAAAGACGTCTTTGTAATGATATGCGTTCAGTCGACTGGTCAGGTTTTGAGGACTCAAAATTTCAAGAGTGTGCGGTTGCAACTAGCTCCCACATCGATTTTGTCTACAATAGCTTCTGTCCGACTGAAAAATTGTAAATATGCCAGCTGCGCCTGTATTCGAGAATTTCTATTCGCCTTCGAAGGAGAGAAAAGCTGCAGAACTCTGCAGCACGCTGTCAATTGCAAAAACTGTCTCAAGCTGAAAATCATACAACTCAACAAAGCCTCTAAATAAACCTTATGGTAAGCAGATTTGGAAGGGCATTCAATAACTGTGTAGCAGCAACTCATGGACATTTCGTTTCTCAGCCAATACGGAAGAATTTAAACAACTTTTCTGGTCGAAGAATCAGGCGTCTGTAATTCGACCAAGATTTTTAGTCCAGGAATCTGCCCTTCAATTTTCGAGCACCACGTCTTCAACCGTTTCCACCAGCTCCTGACATATTTTCTGTAATCATAGTCACAGTCTTTCCGTTTGCGCCGATATCATATGCTTACAAATTTTCGCCTATCTAATGTCAAATATATGGTCTTTCTTCCCTGTGGGCAACTGCCGATTCTTGGTAACTTGCCAGAATTTTCCAACTGCAGAAAAACATCAATAGTTGTACGCACATCAGTGACTCCTGTCCTACAATTATTTCCTTCATTCTTGCAATATGTCTTGAACCTTGAAAAAGAAACAGCCCCACCTTCAGGATCCATACAATACGCATAGAAAAAAGACATTAAATGCACATACACACATTATGCACATTAAACTCGATTGTCAGTTATGCCAACAATGTCACATCATTTGTACAACGAAACCAAAATCCGTAGTCTTTTCCTAGACTTTAATTCTGCATTTAATGTGATCTAACGACTACAACTTCAGAATAAACTGGCTCTTATTAACTAAGATAGAAGCATACTTCACTAGCTTAGCAATAACTCGGCAAACAGGAAACAGTCTGTGAATGTCTGAACTACTACGTGCAGTCCTCAAAGCAGTCACGTTGGTGTGGTATTTACGCAACGAAGAGGAATGTTGCTGTAAGGTAGAAACGTTGGTAATAGTCTTTGATCTGTTACTGCAGGCCCAAAACAACAGCATCAAGACATATAATCATTTCTCTAGGTACTCAGGTACTTAAGCGCATGGCGCAGAATGAAGAAAAGTCTATGACATCATTTGACTGTATCAGGCATAAAATATTTCGCACTGATTAATTAAAATTAACTCGGCAACATACAGATGCATTATAGCGCTGTCGCAAAGTGTAAGTAAGCACTTTACGGTAGAACTGATAAACATCGTTGCTCACTTGCGTGCTGCATAAAAAGATGTACAGCTTTTCAGACTAAGGCCAGGCATCGAAATTTACCTGGTTGTTACTCAGGGCGTAAGCTGACAGCAATCCTCCAATGTAGCGGATGGTGGTTTCAAAAACGGACAAAGTGCTGCCCTAAAAGAAAATGATAATACCGTAACTGCGAATAAAGACTTAACTGCACGACTGAGATCCAACGACGTTTGGACCCATTCCGTAGCCTTTTCAAAGCGACTTTGCAGACCCATTATATACAGGGTGTCAAGCGAATCAACAATCGTTGCACCTAATTAAAGCGTTATAAAAAAAACTTTCACGACAAATACGTAAATTACAGAATAAATAATAAAGATAAAGGAAACGCGAGCTTCCGTCATCAACTGCAGGTTTGCGAGATTAATAAATTCGGATTTTCAGGTGCAATTCCGGAAACTGTCTTAAGGAGTTGACTTCATAAATTTTAAAAAACGTAAAGTTAAAACCATTAGGAAGTTGATCATTCTAACTTTCCTATAAATTTCATGACGGAAATAGAACACAGATTCCTTCCTTTACACACTATGGTGCAACGCAGACCACCATTTCACTCCCATCAGAAAAGTGGTATCATCATTTTTTGACAGCAGTACCTGCACTTAACTGGTTAACACAGCGTTTAATATTCAGGTCAACTTCCTGCAGTGCTGCTTGTTGCCCATTTATCTACTTCAGAAGGAGAAAGCAGTGTTACACGGCCGAAACCTAATCCAATATCTTTTGGATGCGCGTTCAACGTCCGATCTCCTAAGCTACTCTGACTTCAAATGTAAACTTTACTAAATCTGTTATTTGAACTTTATGGCCTCCCTCAGCTCTGATATCTGCACTTCTTGAAGTCATAACCCCAAATTATGTCTTGCATGGCTAGCCCTGCTCCTTCCTCAGATTCTGGTGTGTTTTTAATTTACAAATTACATTTGTTGACAAAAGGCTAGTTATTACACTGGATTAAGTCGCATACCGCAGTCGTCAGTTACACGCATCGAACATCGGGCAGCAGTACCGTAAATCTTGTAAAGCCATCGCTACTACTCCACGACATGTTTTCTAGTGTCAGAGGATGTCTCTTTCTACAGGCTTGTCAACAGGTTATATCGGAGCACAGAATAGCGTTATTGTTCAACGAAAATAGAATATAACAAGAACAAGAGAACGTTACGGAACCAAACACAATAATTTAGTACGAAAAACGAAAGAAAATAACCATGACACTTGTTTTCCACAAAACTTTTATTGCGAGGCTTCCACTGTAATGTGAGATTTACGGAGTTTACGGAGCATCAATTCTGCTCCTGTACAACGCGACAAAAATGTCTTTTTTATGAATGCAACATCTACAGTTGCTTGGCAAAGATAGCGGATACTGTCTTGTTTCCTTCTCATAACGATGCATCCGTTCATTTATCTCGAAAGGATGAAAAACGAGTTAATCTGCGGGACACCGCTAACGTGTGATCTGCAGAGAGCGAGTTCAAAGTTGCAGCACCTGAGCTAACACAGCTCTTAATATGAATAATCGACTTCTACTGTCACACTATCATTTCACCCCGTATTATTATGAAACTTTCATATAAGCTTTGTTCAACACAGTGCAGCAGTACAAATCTCAGCAGAGAACCAGATAGAGGATTAAGATACTCATAAAAATGA